GGAGTGTCAAACTCATTTTCACCGGGCGTCACATCAGCAATACAGTTCCCCTTGAAGGGCCGGTTGTAAATGGAGGACTGTATAGATCAGGGCTCCCCAACCTCCGGTCCGCGGACCAGTTCCAGTCCATAGGTCATTTGGTACCGGCCTGCAGTGGGACACAAAAAATGTACTTAATTTTTTACAAATTTACTTCATTCAAAGAAAATCCACTCATATCCATTTACTTTCTTTATTTAAAGATAATCTGGCAACATTTTAAAATAATATGACTCTGATATGATACGATGGTACTGGCTGACCAGTCCTTGAAACAAAAAAGGTCAGGGACCACTGGCATAGATGTAACTACTCCAATATATGTTTCTGCAATTGATTATAATTTATTCAAGCTACAAATATTGTTCATTGCTGTATTAAAAAAAATTTAATTTCTTGGGTTAAGAAATTCTGCTGCCGTGGGCCACACAAAACGGTTTGGCGGGCCACATTTGGGCCTCGGGCCTTGAGTTGACACGACTGCTTTTTAGATTTAATTTAAAACCCAGTGGGCCTATTACCAACACAGTGGTGCCTGGGACTGAACCACTGTGCACTGCAGTGTTAGAACAACATCATTATCAAGAACATATCCACCATCCTTCTTTCGCCCCCCCCGCCCTCTGAATAAACTTCCTTTTACTGCGTCACTGACTTTTCCTTACATTTTGGTTTTTCCACCATCACGTTCAGGAAACACAGCTGTGTTAAAGAAAACTTCCTTCTGAATCCCACCCCCCCACGCTTCACTTCCTGCAGCACATTTAACAAGTTGGTAAAAAAAAAAAAAGAAGCTTTTTCAGACTGGAGCTAATTTGCCGCCTGCATATCAGGTTTTTGAAATGATGCCATTCTCTGGTTTACAGACATGGACGCGGGGGGACACCGTTGATGATAAGACCTCCTGCTGCTGAACAAGGCCCAGTCTGTCCTCCTCCTAAAGCAGGCAGACACACAGGTGAAGGTGGACACAGGCTTCTTTTAAGGTCTCTGCTTTCAGTCACCGTC